TTATCCTCTCCCTAAACCATCACTTCGCAGTCTTTTTCTTCCCCACATTTGTCTTCATTAATTCCATTAAGATATCATCGCCAACGATCTAGGAAAAAAAAATCCCCTTTCTTTGAACTCCATATTCTCATTCACGTTGGCCTGCTCAAAACAAAACTCTATGTATCGCACTTAAATGGAAGTATCAGTCCTTAGCCCTCCAAACCCTTTATAAAAGATTGCAGCTTTTACACTTTCTTTGGGTTTTGCAATCAAATCGAGAGTTGTTGATTGAATTTTCTCATCTGGGTTTTCTTGGGATTTTATCTTTGCATTTGTTATCTGAAATCCCTTCATTTTCTTATCTGAATAAAGTTCGAGACCATCTTATCTCTTTGCTCCTTTTCGAGTCTAGATTCGTTTTCTTGGATGCTTGTTGGGGGTAAAACATGCAGCCCGATCAGAGGAAAAAGGTATAATCTTTCAGTTTCATATTTACAGCAATTTGCGGATAATATTTTTGCTGTTTCGACTGTCTATATTGATGGTTGGCGAGCTGGTTAGGTTGTAATTTCTGAATGTGAAATGGGATTAACTTATTTGGATCGTGTGCGTGTGTGTGTATACTATTCTTTTTTTTTTTTTTTTTTTTTTTTTTTTTTTTTTCTTCTTAAAATGGGCCTCTGGAGCATATATTCTTCTTTTGAAAGATCTAATTTGGAAAATTTGAAATAGAGTTATAGATTGTCTTGAAAGATTTAGTACAGTGTTGATGCTGTGGTTTAATATGGATAGCTTTTTTATTCTTGAAATAGTTTACCAATCTTTCACCTTCTAATTGACTAGCTTTTGGTTTTACTTTGTTACCTCTTATTAGAAATTTATTCTTCTCCCTGATTAGTGAAGATCGCTTTTTTGGTATCTATATATCTATATTTTAGTTGCACCTATATGTTTGTTTCTATATGTTGAATTCCCCTCTAAAAGCTTATCCATTGTTTTGTTTCATGCAAATGCTAATTGTGAATTTCGTGTGTTTGCGTGGAATTGGATGAAGGTTGAAAGTGTAACATTTCTGAATAAAGAAAAAAAAAAAAAATCATGAACATTCATTTCACGTCCGTTGTTAGTTTACCATCTCAACTTGTCCTGATAAGAATTAACACGTCTGGAAGTTAATGTTGTCTCTCACACATTTGTGATTTATTGTTTAGGCTGACTTTGTATGCTTGCTTCCTGTAAGATTATAAGTGCATTCTTTTGTCACTAAAAAGCAGCATTTACGTTTTAATTATAGATTCTAACCATTTGAAAGTTGAGCAGCATTTTGCTACTTTGGGTCTTGGGATCAGAGTATATTCTAATCGTTATGTCTTTTGGCTTTGATATTTACAAAGGTTGAATGAAGCTGATTGCTGTCTCTTTTCTTATTTTGAGAATTCAATCATTTAGAACCAATTGACCTGTAAAACATGGAGCGTTTCATGCTGGTTGGCACAATGAGAACATAGTATCTCAAAGATGTTAAATAATAATAATAATAATAATAATAATAATAATAATAATAATAATAATAATAATAATAATAATAATAATAATAATAATAATAATAATTTTGCAATGGGCGAGTGTGATACCTGATGTCATTATTATGTATTTATCTTTATCTGCAGTTATAGTTGTATACTGTTCTTTCCAGTAGTTTTTCTGATTTTTTCGTATCAGCGTATACGTTAAATCGTGTATGATTATTTATTGCATGCAGGTAGATGTAGAATTCTTCACTGAATATGGTGAAGGTAGTCGGTATCGAATTGAGGAGGTAATTGGCAAAGGTAGCTATGGTGTTGTGTGCTCGGCATACGATACTCACCTCGGGGAAAAAGTCGCTATCAAGAAAATAAATGATATTTTCGAGCACGTATCTGATGCCACACGGATTTTGCGCGAGATTAAGCTTCTCAGGCTCCTCCGTCACCCGGACATTGTTGAGATCAAACATATCTTACTGCCGCCTTCTAGAAGAGAGTTCAAGGATATATACGTCGTTTTCGAACTAATGGAATCTGATCTTCATCAGGTTATCAAGGCAAATGATGACCTGACGCCAGAGCATTATCAGTTCTTTCTTTATCAGCTTCTGAGAGGAATGAAATACATACACACAGGTTTGTGCAATCACAATCATCCCTGGTTGAGAAGTGTTTGTGGATGGTATTGTTGACGGTTGGCTAAAGAAAATCACCATCTGGTGATTGCATTGCTAATGTTTGCTTCATCTAGTTGATGTGTAAAACTAGTGAATGAGGGGCTTCTGATTTTGGAAAAGCGCTTTTGGTAATTTTGGCAAAGGAAAAAAAAGTTTATTTGAAGTTTCACTTTGAACTTCCAACTCTTAACAACTCTCCACAGATTTTTCCTTTGGCAACATCGACCGACTCTTTCACTTTCTTGATTAAAAGGCGGAAACCTTTAAAAGTTTTGAAAATAATTTCAGAAGGGAAGGTTTGTAATATCGTGTTTTTCTAACACATCTTATTCCTAAATGCAGCTAATGTGTTTCATCGGGATCTGAAACCAAAAAATATCCTGGCAAATGCTGACTGCAAGCTTAAAATATGTGATTTCGGTCTTGCAAGAGTGGCCTTCAATGATACACCTACCGCAATATTTTGGACAGTATGCATCTTTTTTCTTTGTGTTGTGTTTTTATGGCCGTTGACTAATTAAATCAGTATGTAATTAGCATGTGATGCTGCATAATAACTTGAAATAATGAATCATCTTTTTCTGCCTTTATTAAGGACTATGTTGCAACTAGGTGGTATAGAGCTCCCGAATTGTGTGGCTCTTTTTTCTCTAAGGTAATGATCCATGATTCTTAAGTGTGAATTGCAAAACCCATTGTCCTTCATGATTTTTTTACATCAAAATTAATTTTACCTTTTTTTCTTTGCTTCTTTCATACAGTATACACCTGCCATTGACATCTGGAGTATTGGCTGCATATTTGCTGAACTTTTGACTGGGAAACCACTATTTCCGGGTAAAAATGTGGTTCATCAATTAGACCTGATGACTGATCTGTTGGGCACTCCACCTCCTGAAACAATTGCAAGGGTATATTCGTGTTTTGTTTTGTATTGTTTTTTTCCTAATTTAACTTTTTAAAGAATAGATTATTAATTTATTCATTATACACTATCACATGTCAGATAAGAAACGAAAAGGCTAGGAGATACTTAAGTAGCATGAGAAAGAAGAAGGCGATTCCTATGTCCCTCAAATTCCCGAATGCTGACCCATTGGCCCTCCGTTTGTTAGAAAGAATGCTCGCTTTTGACCCCAAGGATAGACCTTCTGCCGAAGAGGTTAAATATTTTATTTAAATTAAATTTATAAATCGAAGCCCAATTGTAATTGATAAAATTAATATTTTTTTGAGCTATCCAATCAGGCCCTTGCAGATCCATACTTCCGGAACCTGGCTAGGGTTGAGAGAGAGCCTTCGGCACAACCAGTGACAAAAATGGAATTTGAATTTGAAAGGAGAAGGATCACAAAAGATGATGTCAGGGAGTTGATATATAGGGAAATTCTTGAATATCACCCGAAGATGTTGAAAGAGTACCTGGAGGGAGCTGAGCCCACGAGTTTTATGTATCCGAGGTACCGAACCTAAACCGGAGAATGTGTAAATCACATGCTTATTGAGTTCATATATCACCAGAGTTTAAAGCAATTGCTTGCTTCCAATTTTCATCACTATCGGGTTTATATGTAGAATACCTATTGGGGACACTTGTTTGATTTATCAAACTTCCCTTCTTTCCCTTTCTTATTTTCCCCTATTCATTTCCTTTGCTTTCTCATAGCTTTAAATGTGATTTACAAGCATCAATCCTATTTTCTTGTGATGATTTGGGATCTTATCAGAGTATCTTGTACACAGTGCCGTTGACAAATTCAAGAAGCAATTTGCATTTCTTGAAGAGCGTTACAGAAACGGAGCAGCTTCTCCACTTGAGAGACAACATTCATCATCTCTCCCCAGGTCCCTTATAGTTATATGTATATTTTTTTGTCCCATTATTTGGTTTGAGCTTTGCCTCTCATATTTCGTGTTCTGGAACAGGCCGGCTGTAGTGTACTCAGACAGATCAAACCAGAGCATGGCTGATGTTCCCTGTGATCTTTCAAAGTGCTCAACTAACGAACAAGTCGAGAAGCCACAAATTGATCGGTCTTCTCTACTTCCTGTGATGTCAAGGTTACCTGCCGAAGTTTCGCCAAGTATCCAATGTACTCTAAAGTGAATCTTACTAATGATTAACATACTTTGCCTAGTGATATTCTTGAATTATATACAAAGATGGCATTATTTTTTACTTTGTTCATTTGCCTATCCGTAGCTTGATTTTTTCTCCCGGAATAAATTGGTTGTATCGCAGGTAGAGGAGCTGCAAGGCCTGGGAAAATCATTGGCCCGATGTTAGGGTACAACACTTGTGAAGCATTGGGCGAGACAATAGATGAGCGAAAAATGACAAGAAAACCTACCCTCCCATCCCAGTATGTGTCCTACCCTAGAAAACACCCGGGCTGTAAGGTTGAAGGGGGTGAAGGCGTGAATGAAGGCCCGAATGGGATCCAGCCCAAGCCCGATCTTTACATGGCCAGAAAAGTTGCTGCGTCCCAGGGTGGGCCCGGGAATCACTGGTATTGAACTTTAAGTGGTGACGTTAACGAACGCACGCACGACTTGATATTTCTCGGTTCATGTTGCCTCCGGGTTGTGTTGGTAAGAAAATAACTATTTGGTGGGCTTCAGCAGGTTGTTATAAAAGATCTTACAGCTGTGGTAGCTGGATTACTATGTTTTGTGGGAGTTTGAAGTGAACGATCAGCGGACTGGACTTAACGTTGAGATTGATATTTAAACCCTTGTTTCTCATAGCTATGTCTGACTATTTACTTCTGTTAATGATAACTGTATTACTTGTGGTAATTTAATAAAAAGTGTATCAATTAGTAAGTAGGATGAAATTGTTTTGTACTCAAGCCTGGAGTTATGATGATGTTAATCTGTATGTACATTTAGCTGGTTCCATTTGTTAGAAAGTCAAGCTTGTATCCTTCTCCTGTTCAACCCCTTTGTTTCCATAGCTAGGTTCCTCGGTTCAGTGGCTAGTCTCTCTTTTTGAATGTACTTAGATAGGTTAGCTAAAGGTTTCAGTATTTTTCAATGTTATCAAAATCGGACCGGACCAGCCGGTTCAACCGGTTGGACCGGGAACCGGACCTAGTA